CATTTCTTCTGACACCCTGAGGGCAGAGAACGGCATATGTGTTTCGGTCGATCGAACTTATGCCACATCCCGACAAAGACTTTCAACTGGTGGTAGATGATGAAAAGCAAGATAATCACCATTTCGGCAATTCATCGCACGAGAGAAGTGCAAGCAGGTCGTTGGCCAGTCCTTGGGCTTCTGTAACAGCTCTCAACTTTAATCGCAGATGATCTGTCGGTTCCGTGGGATGATCGTCGGCAACCGGAACACGATATGTTTCCTGTTGACGTTATGCTGTGGCGCAGAGTGATTGTGTACAGTACTGGATCGTACTATATGATGATTCTTGTACCCCCTGCGCAATCAGTCTGAGGCAAAGCGTTGGCAAATCGTCGTAAAACCCCCGGCGCTTCTCTGTTTGATGTTCCTCTAGAATCCCCCGCAGCGTGACGCGACATCAATGCTTGATTTTGTTAGCTTGTAATGGATAGAATGTAGCAAGATGGCTTGCTAAGATTATAGAGAGTAGATAGGCAGATAGGAAAGTGACAGGATTGGAAGGAATAGATGGAGGATCATGGATAACGAATCTTGGCTTCCTGTGGCAGGTGCGAATAAGCGGCCAAGAAGAGTTAATTGGTCACTTCACGAATGCACTTCCCTCATCCAGTACAATCACGCATTTGTACACTGGTCGTGCCTCCCTGATACGAAATTTCATCCGTGCTTGAGTATCCCGAAGCAAGCGTTGCTTCGGAGTTGCTTCCAACCCGGGGTAGACCCTGTCATGGGCCGAGCCCCATCGACCTGGGCCATCGTCTTGTCATCTTCTACTCTGTACCCGTATCCAAATCCACGATACGGAGAAATTTAAACATGCCCGCCATGTATTTCTTTTGACCCTGGAACTTTTTGTTTCTTCTTCCTTTCTATCTCGTGCCCCGCGGGGATTCTGATTTACTCTTCATCTTCACTTCACTTTACTTTTCTTCTTATCTATCTGCAGTGCAGTTCACAGGCTTGATGCCTTTACTTCTAACTTGAGCTCTTATTCGATTCTTTACACATTCATTTCAACCATTTCTTGACATTTGAAGTCTCTCGAGACAAAGTGTAACGACGAAAACTACATCCAAGCCTACAATTAGAACGTTTGTCCAACCGTCGGAAGGAGAACCTGTTTCCGTTCAGAGTATTCGTGGACGCTATTCAAAGCAACACCACTTGCTGCTTGTGTTACACCCATTAGCCAAAGCCAACACAATCTATTCTCGACGTTCCTCAGGACGAATTCAATTGACGAGCACGGCACAAACTGGCATTGGGAGGCCTTTGGTCATTGCATGAACAACCATTTGAAGCAATACTCTTTGACCGTGATTGTGGATTCTATTACACCTTTTTGGCTCAACTGCTTCACTTACACCACACTCCTTCTCACAAGATCTCGCAATGTCGGGCTCTACACAAACCAAGATGCTGGTGGTGCCGCCTGCACTCAACCTGCGTCGAGCCACCTCTTATAATGCCCAGGATCGAGGTCCAATTTCTTCAACTTCGTCACGATTCAACTTCAACCACCTTTTCTTTTCACCACCTGCCTCGCCAGCGCTTCCGGCACTTGTACCTCGACCCCCAAAGAGAAAATCGAGCCAGATCTTGGTTACTCGGCCGAGTCGAGTCTTTCGACGCCTTTTTCTCCTCGGCATTCTATTGTCACTCACCTATCTCGCAGCCATGGCTTTCCAAAACCCAAACGTGATTCCATCAGCAGTATGGCCTTACTTTGAACAAGAGGAGTTCGAGATGGTCGGCCAAGATGCTTTCCCAGACTTTCCTACACCAATCTTGGTTAACGACAACAAGGGTCTCTCAAAGTGGACGGTCTATATCCCACCGAATGGAGATTTCCCCCTAACCATGGAGCAGTATGCTGAAATGGGAAGTCAATGTCGAGAGGTCTCTTCGCGAGCACGCGATGTTCACCACAAAGGTCCGATCACCGAAACAGCCATAATCAACTACGATGCCCAAGACGAATACTATGTCGACGTTTACGAAGCCGAAAGATCAGGCCTTCTTACTCCTACAAAGGGACTTCGTGCCAAAAACAAGGGCAAGTTTGTGGGAGTAGACAAGAAACACCTGAACCACAAGCCTGTGTGCGAGAGCACTATGACTTTTGTTCTGGAATCGACAGATGCCGGACTTGGCAACACTCTTATGATGCTTTGGACCTTTTATGGACTCGCCAAGCAATTGGGCCGCGACTTCTTCATTGTTGACAAACGATGGGCTTATGGTTCTTGGGATCAAATCTTCGAGACCCCTCCAGTTCCGGAATGCCGCCCGCCCCCAAGACATCACATGGTACCTTGCCCTTTCCAAGCTCGCCATCTGGTTGTCTCAGCTGCAACGGCAAAGGAAGTCTTTCCAGCCCTACTGGCCCAGAATCACCGCGTTGCTGGAACCGATAATGGTTTGCGGGATCTCTTCGAGTTAGCTCGCCTGGGATTTGAAGACCTCTTCTTCCTAAATGAAGAGGACCAGACCTATGTTGATAACCGCATCCTTGGACTTCAGGCAAAGGCAAAGGCTGAGGATAGCCTTACGGCACATGCACCTATTATTGGACTCCATGTTCGCCATGGCGATCAGCACCCTCTCGAGCTGCAATACAGCGAAACGTACATCCCGGCCGACGTTTATCTCAAGCAGGCTAGTCGCTATGTCGAAGAGTACTACAACAGCACAGGAGTCGAGGGCTCCACTCAACAACACTCTCTCACCCTTTTGGCATCAGACGATCCCACAGTCCATGAGGAACCTGAATTCAAACACACAATTCTTTCTCAAGATCGCATCCGTCTTGCTTCAAAGGGTGCGATAGCTCGGGCCGGGGGTAACAAGCAAACGCCCAACAACTTCGTTGAGAACACATTCGGCTGGGAAGGTGGCTTCTTCGCTCCCCTGTTTTGGAACCTTGGTGTCGACAGCAAGAACAATGCTGCCGAGGCACCTGCTGGTGTCACCGTCGAGAATGTCAACCAGGAAGCCAGGCATATGGCACCCCCTTCTCAAGAAACACTGAGACTTCGTAGCCTCGTCGGCCGAGCCTACATGATGGATCTCGCTGTACTCGCCGAGTCAAGTGACAAAGTCGTGTGCACCGTGAGCTCCATGGGATGCCGGCTACTGGCCATTATGATGGGATGGGAGGATAGTATAGAAAACGGTGGCTGGCATAACGTTGACGGCACCTATGGGTGGACAGGGATTGACTGGTAGAATATTCGGCCAAATCTGTTCTATTTTCTTGGGTTGCCATATTGGTCAGGAGCTGTACAAGAAACAAGCCTGCAAGGCAATTCTCATGAGGTGGTGTTGGGCGGCGTTTTTCAATAACATATAAGATACCAATCTATATTTTCTTATTAACATGGCGTATCCAGTATTTGAGGTGGTTGTATTTGTGATAGGGTTTCAGACTAGAAGTATTCATCGTAGTTCTGTAACTCAAGCCGGTTCCTAAACTTTCTTTTGGAGGTTGTATATGGTAGAAGCTTTGGATTGTTACAGCGCCGCATTGATATACAAGTAAGTAGCAACCCAGGGAATTAGAAGATACAATAGAATGATAAAGATTCACTTCATTGATAAGGCTTTCCTGAGAACCTACAAAGGGTTGGGACTTAATCAATTAATGTTTACTGCCTGGTCCTTTAAGGTGCCTGCAGTTGTTTGTTGTCCAATATTGGCTTGATGAACTGCCAGGCGGATAAAAGTGGGCCCCATCCATCATGCTTCTGAGCGCACGCGGCGCGACTTCCGTGCGATTGCTCTGAAGTGTACCTGCTACCACTCCATTTTATCAATTCCATTCGCCTTAGAGAGAAACGACTTGACGGGCATAGACTCTTCTTGCTCTTCCCCATTCAACTACCCTCCAATATTCTGGACACCATTTAACAGAGTTATTGCAGTGTACGCGCCAGGTCCTTACCAGATAAAGAGTTGGAGGCGCATTGGCTCTGTAAGCTCCAGATCGCCAATATGTCTACACCCACGCCGAAAGAAGGCACGCCAGCCGCGAAACCTCGACTCAAGATTAACGTCAACCGATCCTCATCCTTCGTTGCCGATGCAAACACAACTGCCACACCATCAGCCTCCGTCCCGGCCTCGGCCACGGCAGCGTCAGGTGCTGTAGCCCCTACCTCAACGCCGACAGAAGGAGGTCGCAAAGTGAAGCTGAAGATCGGGAAATCACAACCTTCGACACCCGCTGAACAACCCCCGACCAAGACAAAAGCTGGAAGGCAGCCTAAACCCACACAGAAACTCGTCGAGAGTAAGAAGCGTGCGCATGATGATCTGGATGATGAGTTGGGCTCGGCGCATCCGACAACTAAGATTAAACTCAAGCCTACAAAGTCAGGACTCACTCCGACGGTGGTGGTGAAGCCAAAGGGACGCGCACCAGTTCACCCTCCTGGAGATGGTTACGACTCAGAAGCGAGCGACAGAGAAAAGGACCCGTCGATCGAGGAGCAGTTTGTTCTAAGGATGATGCCAGGAGAGCACTGTGATTATGTTCGATGGTGTATGGAGAATGGGAAAATGGGCCTTCCACGGAGTCAAGGAGGAGCAGATATCCAACTCAAGTTTTTTGAGGAGGATACCAGAAGGGCGGTCGTGACAGTCAAGGGCCAGCACTTTGCCGCTGTTATGGTAGACTTACCAACGATCACCGAGGCGATGAAAACGTGGGACAGAAAGTCATTTCTCAAATCCGCTGACATCTGCCAAATGCTTCTGGTCTACGCCAGAATTTCTAGCGAGGCCGAGGCCAGGGAAACGCCTCTACCAAGCATGATCGACCAGCATTTTAGATGGCCACACGGCCTAACACCACCCATGCACGATTGTATGAACCGCCGATTTGCAAAGACCATCAGTCGTAAGGAGATTGAAGACAAGGAAGCAGAAGTCGAGCGCTTGCTCGCCGAGGACGCTAAGGCCGGCTCGACGCGCTGGGAATGGGTCGATGAGAGCAAAGACGACGAGGATGAGGATGCCGACGGAGAGATAGATGACACCATGGAGGACTACTTCCAAAACCAGGACGCATTGTTCGATGAAGAACAAGGAGACGACACGCTAGAGGCCGATCTCGAGGCTGCTTTCGCTAATGGCGAAGTAATTGCCGAGACTGCTGCCACTGGTCTGGATGCAACGACGCCTATGACAACCACACAAGTCAACACGCCTGCGCCTCTACAAGATAGTATCGAGTCAGACGAGTCAGAAGAAGTTTCAGACGATGACGACGATGATGACGACGACGATCTGGATGACGATGCTCGTGCCCAGCGAGATGAAGAGCAGGGTGTCAAGGATATTATCAATGACCTCAAGAAACAGCTGGGTAACAAGGAAGCCGAGCTGGCACGCACTCAGAACAGGATCTTGAAGACTCGTATTGAACAAACCATTAAGCAGCTGAAGGCAGAGATCGAGCTCAAGAATTCGTCTATCGGTATTGAGACGGATGATTAGATGTCGTTGGATATGGTGAGGGTCGCAATTGTCGCTGGGCAGGATAATAGGAAGAAAAGGCTCATTGCAAGGAAATGGCGTTAAGGTGTGTTCCAGGACTTGGGAATGCATGAATTAGATATGAAACCAGAACAAATACCACATTGAACCATCTTGAACGATGGATCTAGTAAAGTCTTGAAACGAGTTCCCCCCCTCTATTGACAATCATTCTTCCATCAAATCCTATCAAAATTGCCCTCCCAAGGCCTTTTCAATTCTCGAAGAATACCTGCACTAATCTCATTTTCGTTGCAGTAGCTCTACAAGCTTCTTTTCATTAGCGATCAGAACTTTCGCAGCTGTATCTGTAACATCGTCCCACGAGGCATAGTTGCTGCACTCTTCAAGGCCTCGAGGGTTAGCTTTGCCCTCGACATTCTTCACAACACGGTTCTGGAACGTCCGCTGAAGTATGCTCGCTAGTTGAGGATCTCGTTCCGTTTGCTTTGTGAAGTACGAGACGATGTATTGGTTATCTTTCAGCCTGGTGACCTTGTGTTCACGGTTCCAACGTTTCGTAGAGTTGATCGCTTCGTGGATGCGACCTTCAGGGGTTGACAAGTTGGAAGAATCTTGGCAGTAGTTTAGTACTTGTTGAAGGAAGTAGGCTATGCCGAGAGATACTTACTCGTTAGTTCGATACTTTGCTGCCCTTGTGCACTTGCGTCGGCCTCTATCCTGGCTTTTTTGGCCGACCTGGTCTCTCTGCCGAGAGTGTCGGGAGTAAATGGCCCTGGGTTGACGGCCTTTGTGGTCACTGGCTTTGTGATCACTGGCTTGGGCGGTTGTTTCGCTGCATTGGAGATTGCTTCAACTCGGGTTTCTATACCGTTGACCCTGGTGTGCCATTCTCTCACAGTTTGTCGCATCTCCTCTTGTGCTCTCTCAATATCAGCCTGCGTAGCTGGAGGGGTGTCCTTCAGAGAAGTCATGAATTGTTTTATAGTCTGTACTTCGAGCATCATTCTTGTCAACCGTTCTTCGTTTTCTCGCCTGTATTCGTGGTTGTCCGAAGTCCGCAGAACAAGCTTCTTGACGTCGTCTTGTAGCGCGTATGCAATCTTCGAGACAGCATTGAGATTTACTTGAAAAGTCATCCTCGCCAGTGCATCTGCTTGCTGTGAAAGCTTGGAGCCTTCGTTATCTGCGTGCAATGTAGCGGTTGATGCAGGCATAGATCCGGGTCCTGCTATACCTGTTGATGAAGTTGCCAGTGTAGTGTTCGTATTCTGACTGGCAGGCGGCGATGGGGGAGCTCGACGTATAGAAACTGTCCGAATAGGAGCTATACGACGAGTCTTCGCTTTCTTTGGCATCTCGACGGTGTTTACTAAAACTTGTAATAATCTGTTGGAAAGTGGAAGGACGATGCAAGTGCGCGGGGCCAAGCAGCTGGTTCATCAAAACATCTAGAAGGGAGAATCCAGTTGCAGTGATTGTATCCCTCACGAGGATATCCCTTATGGACATAATTCAAAGGGGAGAGAGGGCCATGTCGAGTAGAAAAGAGGAGAGAGAATGCGATTGAAAGGGTTGGAGTGAGGTGAAAAAGCGAAGGAGCAGTTGACCCGGTCGAGGCAGGAAAGAGCCCAGCGTATGAGCAGGCAGGAGGCAGGAACAGTCTTGCCCACTTACCACTCACCACTTACAAAGTCTGCAGGTATCGCAATAATACTTTTGCAATTTCTCATCTATTCGTTTATTCGTGAGAAGGAAACATGTAAAGACGGAGTTAATAGAAAGGGCTCTTGTACTTGCCCTCAAAAAGCGATCATCCACCCGGCAAGAACATCCACAAGAATTAGGTACTACGCAAACAACCATTCCAGCTCCTGCTTACTCCTCCAGATCGCCAATAACTTCAGCATCTTTACCCTTCAGTCTCTCCTCACCAATCCATTGCATAAAACTGCCTACATCCTTAGCCACGGCTCCAGGCAAGCCCAACTTTTGCGCCCACATAGGCACCAACCCCTTCGCATCAGATACCGTCCCCATCACCCACTCCAAGTGCCCATCTTCCAACTCTCTGACCCTCTCGATACTAGAGTAGGCTGCTCGGACGGGGCCTTCGTGCACAGCTACATCCGTCGTATCATCGCTGGCTCGAATAGCGATCTGAATGACGATAAACTCTTTGCGGCCTCGCACAGCAGCTGTAGCTTGGAGGACTGGGAAAACACGCTTAGACAGTGGGCCAGGGAGATCATGGACAGATTCTTCACGACGGAGAGTCCAGTCAACCCAAACGTCGTCATCAAGCTGGACCTCAATGCCTGAGCAATCCCACTCGTGTAGTCTCTTGAAGCTTGTAACGCCCGGGGTGAAGAGCTTCTCCGCCTCAGCGTGCTTCTCTTTGAAACATCTCACAAACTCATCCCAATCTGCTGTGCCTTTCTCTTTCTTTGGCTTGTGAGTGCTTCGTCGTAGTGCCCAGAGCTCCGACTGCGCTTTATCAGGGGAGACGCCAAGGCCGGGGTTCTTCTGGGCGACAATGCCCAGAGTCTCGGCGTCTACGGTACGTTCGAATACATGAACAGGGGCTGTAGAACCGTCGTACGTCTTGCTTGTCTTGTGTTTCCATAGTTCATTTGTGGAGCGGAGCTCTGTGGCAGGCTCCACGGAGGGAATCTCAGAAGGGACCGTTTGTATAAACGGAACAGCTTCGAGAAGGATTGAAGTGAGTAGCACCTTTAGCTCTTTAGACCGACACCCTACATCCGGAAGCTTAGAAGGATGAATGCCCCAGAGCCGGATAAGAGGGCCATATGACTCGCTCATGATGTCTTGATGAGGTGCTGGGCCTGGTCCCTGGCTTGGTCAAGGGTGCTGGGCAGGTCTAAACAGGTATTGATGAACGGACCCTTAGTTGAACCACCAACTTGATGGTTTCTGCTCAAAGTTATACGAGAAGAGTGACTGACAGGGCTGAGGGTAAACAATATTGCTTCAAAATGAGTATGCAGAATAACAAATAACAATAATTATGCTGCAGTGCCAGTGGTTAGAATGCGGTACAGTCGTCATTGATGGCGTTCGCGTCAGTGGGGTTTGCTCTGCCAACTTCCAACTTCACCTCAGCTCAGCTCCCTTCAAAAGACTCGAAGATCGGCTCATTTACATATCAGATCAGCGACCCACAGACATAAACAAATTGCCAATTTAACCCAGAAAGTTGAACAATTCATATTTTGATCATTGCTAATTAAAAATGTATAGTCTATCGTCAGAACTTTACTGCCATAGGAATGACAATTGGCTTCTCTTTTTGTAAATAATACCAGCCCAGCCATTACAAAACATTCAACTCCTCAGCATTTGCTGCTTAAATACAACTTGTTTCGTGTCTTCGCGTCATTGCCGTTTGGCATAAATTACTGGCGTCTCTCCCAGTGGATGTTGGCAGGCTCCAGAGGTCGGGAGAAGAGGGAAGCGTAGTCGGTGCCGATCAGGGTGTTACCGCCATCGACGTTGCGGAACTTGAACTCGCGGACAACCTCGGCAACGATGGTTTGAAGCTGAGCGTTAGCAAAGTGCTCACCAATGCATCGGTGACGACCAGCACCGAAAGGCAGGTAGGGAGAAGCTGAGCCCTTGCTGACAAGGCCGTAACCGTAGTCGATCTTCTCTTCGTCTTCACCCTTGGTAGCCATACGAGGGAAGTTGGGAGAATCGGCCTCCCATCGGTGGGGATCCCACTCATCAGGGTTGGGGAAGTAGGTAGAGTCGGTAGCGCTGACACCGGGAGCGGCGAGGACATTGTGCGAGGTGGGAACGACATACTTGGTGCCAGGGACAGCCATAGGAGACTTGACGGCGCGCAGGATGGAGTGGATAGGGGCGTGAAGACGGAGGGTTTCCTTGATGATAGCCTGGTTAAGAGGCAGCTTGGCAAGGTCTTCGTAGGTCAGAGGAGGCAGATCGGCACCGAGGTTCTTGACTTGCTCCTGGTAGAGCTCTTCCATGATTTGAGGGTTCTGAGCGAGACGAAGCATGATCCAAGAGCTGGTGGAAGAAGAAGAGTGTTGACCAGCCATGAGAAGGGCAATCATCATGTGGGCAACCTCGTGGTCGGGGACAGGGGTACCGTTCTTGTAGGTCGAGTTCATAAGATGCTTCATCATGTCGTGCTCAGAATCGTCGGTGCCCTTAGCACGGCGCTCCTTGATGGTATCCATGTAGATCTTGGCAACAGTACGCTGGGCTTGGTCACGCTTGAGGTTGGAAGGGAGAGGAGCCCAGTAAAGCTGGAAGTTGATAGGGGTGAAACCCATGTCGAGGTCGTGGTAGAGAGCAGCCAGAGACTCGTCGAACTTGTTGCGGATTTCGCTGCCCTGAAGGGAGTGGGATGCAGTGAAGATGGTGATCTCGGCCATTTTCTTGGGAATATCGACAACACCAGACTTGCCTTTGAAATCGGGGCTTCTCTTGAAGTAGTCGCGGACCTCGGCGGAGATGATAGGAATGTAAGATCGGAAGGCTTCGGTGGTAAGAGCAATCTTCATGAACTGGAAGCGAACACATTAGTATGTTTGCTGTGAAGCTGTTTGCCATTGTTTTTTACCTTCTTCTGCTCCATGAGCTTGGAGTTGGGGCAATCGTAGACGACATCCTTGCCAAAGACAGGAGTGGTGAGGACGGTGTAGATCTCCTCGGCGCAGACGTCCTTGAGCTTTCCATTGAGAATGAAGTCGTTTCCGGCAGGGCCAAGAGCAACAGTGGTTTTCTTTCCGAGGAGGACAAAGGTGAAGACATCGCCGTGCTGGCGCAAAGTTAGCCTTGGTCTTGGTTGCTGGTATCGCAGTCTTGAGAGGTATGCGCTCTCAAGGCGGGTGAGTTCCCAACACGGACGGGTTTGACAAACTTACCTTGGCACGGTTCTCTTTGAAGAAAGTAGGGGGGTCCATTCCATATGTGATGGTGCTTCCGATCCAGGGGAACCAGTGGAAGACCATAGGGGGTTCATTGGGGTTTCGGAAGAGGATCTGGCTGAGGACATTGAGGACGACGGAGAGAATGATGAAGGCTCCGAAGCCAATTCCAATTTGCTTGCCCAGGGAAAATTCCTGGAATTGTTGTGCGAGCGGATGGCTCGCAAGTTCTTGAAGGAGACCCATGGTTGGGCGTGTCGTAGGGAGGTTGCGACGTTTCGGTTGCGATTCTCAAAGGGAAGGAAGTAGGATAGAAGAGAGAAATGAAGATTAAGAAAGAATCTTTGTCAAGTCAACGCCAGGAAGTAAAAGGAGTTTCCAATGGCGAGCCTGTAGAAGTAGAGGAAGAGTAGAGACTGACAGGAAAACAGAATCGAAAGCAAATGGCGAAGGAGATTAACTGATATGTAATTGCGACGACCTCGACGTCTTTTTTTCGGACCGGGGTGTCCTAAAGAGGTCCCCACCAACAGCGCGGTACACCGCCTGCACTCTTTCGAGATTTAGTGGCTCAATTGACGGTTTACTGCCTGTCGCCCTGTAAAACGGAACCCGATATGGTCCAACCATGACAGACGGTACCTGAGAATAGTGGGGGTGCTCGTCTTCCCGTCACGAAAGGGTGTGATATGATTGGCTGATGATTCACGGATTCGTATTCGCATCGACTTCTAGAATTCTAGTGGTGCCAGATCTCGGCAGGAACCCCTCTGCCCTCCTTTTTCGCATTCTTATCACCCCCACCAATTGAATTACTTTATGCCATGGCATTAATGGGTTACAGTACATACTGCCACTAAGAGGTAAAGACGTTGAGATACCTTTGGGACAACAACGATATATCTCAACTTTGCTATGCATTGATTATATAACGCTGCTCTTCAAGTCAAAGAGCATTCTTGTCCACATCATATCATGACCGCTACCGGCAATTGATTAGTCTCCGTTACTCAGCCGATTCGAGACCTATCGAAATGGTCTGATGAAAAGTCCCTGAGACTATACCGCTATGGTCCGAATAAGAACCCGACCTGTTCTATGAGTTGTCGTCAACAATCGGCTATTTCTTATGTGACGATACTCGCATCATTTTCAGGGTCCTCGATGGATAAGGCCATATCGGTAATTGGTCAATTGCTTTTCGAAGGATTTGCGATTCCTAGGATCAGAACACGGTCAAAGGCAGTATCCGTATTCACATGTTGTTCAACGAATACGGAACAGAAGATAGGATTCTAGTATCTGTGATCTGTGATACCAAGACTCTAATTTCATTTACGCATATGCATGATGGCGGTCGACAGAATATGCCTCTCGTCGATCAATCCTATCCCGTTGGTGTTGTCTTGGTTGTCACTCATGGTGCCATAAATTCGAAGTTACGATACCGCCGGAAACATCAACGAGATCCCCGGCCACTACCCCTGAGCTCTTCACGATAAACCTTTTACAAAAACATCCTATGTTGGAACCCAGAGCCCCGGATCACTCCGATCACTTAAACCACCTCGTCTCCGATGCCCCGCTTAATATGGGCTGACGCTTCTTGGGGTTCATTGTAGGGATCTACGAGGAAATAAAACATAGCAGTCCGTAACCCTTCCGTATTCAAGGTAAAACGGTGAAAAGTAATACGGCCCTCCGATGGCCGTTCTGCTCCGTGCCGTTCCGTCAGTCGGCGCCGAAATGTCATTTCTGCGATGACATAACTTCTCACCAAACCACAGGAAAAGCCTCATCGCAGCCACCTTCAACCGTCTTGCTCCATTCAGGATTCTATGCCAAGCAGTTTCATAAGTTCCTGCTCGACTCGAATCCTTATTACTCTTCGTATCTTAAACTTGACCCTGAACGCGATCAGGATCGAGACACTGGAGTAAGTCAACCACTCGTATTCGGGTTCAACATCGCATTTCATCACATCAAAGCTGGGCATGATGACCAATCCAAGTATTTGCGAATGATGTTTTTATTCCTATATCCTATACTACTAAGTCATGAAAATCTCAAGGGGAATATTACCAACGCCTCTAAACGAAGACTGTTCATTCCGGTATCGCTTTCCACGTATCCTAAGCCCAAGCTCTACATCTCGTCCAGTATTAGCACCAGTCAAGTAGCCTTCTTAGTACCGTAATCAGTGAAGGGAGACTTCTTTGATGATGGTGGTATTAAAAAGTCATTTGATTGATGATAATACTGGACAAAATGTAGGAATTGGGTCCAGGTTTAGTTTCAAGCAACACCGAAAAATAAATAATAAAAACAGACTCGCCTGGCTATAATAAGCAAAAGCAGAAGCCATGCCAAATTCATATTTGCATGCCGAACAGACAATGCGCGCAAATGCACCAAGGTATTCTCGCTTGTTACATGTTGAGTCGTTAAATAACATAAACGTCGATATCATATTGTAGGACCGCGTCTTTACATATGTCGTAACCGTAAATATGAATATCGTACCACGTTTAATGTTGCATAAGTGGGACATATTCATCGTGAATCTCGTCAACTCTATTGTTCTCACTCCAGGCACTGACCGGAAAACGTTGGATGTCGCATCGCTGATGGTTCCTAAGCAACGATGCTCTTGCCAACGGCACCCCATCGAAGTTTGCGTAGTCCGCTGCCTGATGATCGGATGACTTCCTGTCCGCAAGACGTGGTATCGTTGACACTGCCAACGCTGGCCGCCAACGCCTCTTGTCTGCCAGCTTCACGACCGATAACATACCCTGCACCAAACCCCACCACAGAGACGACGATGACGACGCCGGCGCTGACGACCCATGTGAGGAGAGTTGGCGAGATGGTGGCAGGCTCTTCCATCTGGGCAACCTTCTTTTTCTTGGTAGCCCGTGGGGCCGTTGGTGATCCGGAGCTGTGCTTGCCCCTCTCGGAGGTGGTTCGTGAAGGAGATCTGGATCCCCCGGCCCGTTTGCGGGGTGGAGACGGGGCAGCGGGTCGTTGGGCCCGTCTTTGTCTTGGTGGTTCTGGTGACAGCTCCGACTCCGGTACGAGCCGCAGCTCCATCGGCTGGCTACTGGGTCCTACGCCTGAAGCGGCTACTCTCTGGGCCTCAGCTTCTTCCTTTGACTTTGGCAGGCCTCTAGCTGCGTGTGCGCAAGAAAGAAGAGTGGTTAGGGATGCGCGTAGAGCTGCATCGTTCTCTTCACGAACAGCTGGGGACATAAAGCTTGGACCCGCACGGTGGGGCCGTGTCTGCGATCGCTGGGTAAAAGAAGGTCGTGTAAGACCATTGTGAGGATGAGGAGGGGGCGCGGTAGGAATAGCTGGAGCAGAGTCTCGTCGCTGTGTCGATGGATGAGTGAAGGCATTGGGTTGAGGTCGGAAGACGGGTTGGTCTGCAGGTCGATCAGACACCCGCCCAAGCGCGGTGACGTTATCACCATCTGACTCGGCCTCCGAGTCCAAATCCATATCTTCTTCAGACCGCTGGGCATTCTCGGTCGAGCTGGTAAGGAGGCGATCATCTTCGCTATCGCTTTCATCGTATTCTTCCTGGCTGCTCATATCGGCGGCAGAGCCGTTGTGGATAGCCGTATTTTGTTGGGGAAGCGATCTTGCCGAGGGTTGTAAGCGACGTCGACGAACATAGGGGTTCCCAACGCGTAAACCAGTGGTAACAATCTCGTCGCCGATGCTAGAAAGGGATGAAGACGAAGGTTGTGATGCCACCTCTACCCAAGACTCTAAATATTGTTAGCTGACGTACAACGTGGTTAATAGAGTTGGTGAGAACTAACCGTCGTAACGTCTTTGCTGAGGAAGTCCAGGACTCGATCTCGCAGGATTAGGAGACATCCTGTTTCCTTGCCAACTCTGATTTGCCTGTCCGTCCATCTTGAATCCTTTTTGTTTTGGTGGTATGAATGTTTTGTTTAAAGGTCAAGTTTATCTGGAAACTTGGCAGTCGAGTCCTCTTCTAGGGGCGGAGCACGAGGCACGGCACATGCGCAGGGTGTGAGATCGACCGGGTCACTAGCTTTATCTCCGCTTATCTGAGGTCTGGGGTAGATGTTATTCAGAGCAGACTCGATAAAGAAGTTAAAGGTTGACGATGAAAACTATTCACTGCAAAAAGAGAGGGTATAAAAGAAAAGGACAGAGAAGGTTGATTACTTGATAGCGAAGTCGGGGTCTTGGTATTGTGCTTTGACCGGGTTGGGGAGATGGATAAATGACTGCTTTCCCTTTGTTACAGGCACGAGAGCACGTTTCGGCCGTCTTTGATAACGACTAAAGTAGAGATACTTGAGGAAGAGTGTGGAGAGACAGTGCGAGCGCATCACGCGCAGCTGTGAAACACCCGCATTAGCTACGCGGGATAAGAACCCGATTGTATGCATCTACAGTAATGCCGTAACGATGACGATGATTCTATCGCACACTGTCCATCAGCTCGCCTCTAGAGCGGTGAAGTAGCTCCCGCTAAGTATCGGTACTTCATCCCCGCCTCTGTTTATGAGCACGCAGCACGAACATACCGGTCATGAGCACACGGCGGGGTTGGGCCCAAGTCAAACAAGCTCAATAGACAAGACATGGACTATCAAATAGCCAGATCCAGATCTATTCTCAACGTTTCTTGTACTGCCATGTATCGTTTAGGTTTTCGCATAAAGTTTCTATCTAGAAGAGGCTGGCTGAAGCTGATGATCATCCTATTTATCGTACAATCTTACATTGTTGAGATATCCATTGTTTCGACAATGAACGATTATCTGCCCACGCTTGTTACAGTCGCTCTATAGACGTGGGTCACCCATCAAGACCCTTCAAACTCCATCTTATCGATCTGCCGACTTTACTGGGTCTTCATCATGCGTGTAACCTCAAACCTAAACCAGCAAACAGCGCCTATAAACGAAACCTTAAGCTGTTGGCTGTTATTTTCCTTTCCCGCTGCCTTGAGACAGATTTACATCAGCCCAGGCGGCACAGTTCGATATGGTTTGTTCCATCTTGTATGCTCATTAAGGACAATATAGTTGATACTGTACTGGGCGCCATATACCAGCTGACTGTTATGACTGACCTACCTACATGAACCTGTCCTCCCTGACATGTCGTCTTTCCCCAACAAATCCAGGGACCATCATTATAGCACGTTCATGTTTACTTGCTCACGCGCAAGTCAGCTCTCATAAGACTGGCCTCTCCGCACGCGCTGTCTCGGGCTGAGTTGTATCACACGCCACGCATATGAATCTTCAGTCCGACGTCATTTTTGACTCTTTGTAACTGGGTTTCTAAGTCATTGTAATTTTGGACATGTATCTCAACATGGCAATCTCATGAGCCCAGGATATTAATATTATCTTCTATGGGCTTGAAGAATGATCTTGAGCAAACCTCATCTTATTGTATAACATTCACGTAAACTGAAGATAAAATATTTTCATAGAAATCATGATCGAACTTTTATTGCGCCCCTTATAACTGGGAAGTGGACGGATCCCGATGCTACATAATCGAAAGAATAACGGCAGTGGTATACTCACCAACATCAAACGATGAAAACAACTCCAGAGTAAGAAATACATGGTATAACAAATCAATGTGGTCTAGTCATCAATGGCAGAGGGGTTCATCACCGGTTGAAGCCTGATGATAGGCAATGGCATCGTAGTGGTTAGGTTTCGAGAAAGCCCCCAGGACCCTCAGAGTATTCGCAAGAACCGACTTGGTCCACTCCACAATGTCTGCAAAGACAGAGGGAGAATCTTCCCAAAGAGCCGTCAACAAATTTCCTCAGAAGCCCACGTGGTGTCCGTCTGGAAGACAAACTTGATCAAAAGCCAACATAAAACCACAGGCACCCGCGAGGGTGCCTTTGCAACATGCCACGAGCCCACGGTCCCAAGTGTAATAGCCCCCAGGTCTATAGTGCTTTACGCGTGTGAAGCGCATTCTCAAAGCCCACTACTCCGTCATAGAGTCTTAACTTGTGTTGAATCGACAGCCCACAAAAGCCCACTTATTGGTAAACCCGCCAGAAGCCCTCGGTCTGCAACCGTTGTGCAGCAACCCACGTTTAGTCGAAGGAAACCTTCGTGCCAGAGAAGGTGGTAGGAGTGCGGTTAGCACCAGTGCCGAAGCTACCACCACGACCACCGCCGCGGCCACCACCACGACCACCGAAACCACCACCGCCTCCGCGACCACCACCACGGCCACCGAAGCCGCCACGGCCGCCACCACGACCACCACCGCGACCGCCACCGAAGCCGCCGCCGCCGTTCTGGGGCTTGCTGCCAGCATAATCGAGACGGACAGCACGGGACATGCGACCGTTGCCGATAGAGGCACCGTTCTTGGCCTCAAAGGCCTGCTTGGCCTCCTCAATGGAGCTGAAGCTGACGTAACCGAAACCTTTGAGGTTACCGCTGTCACTGTTGGGGGTCAGTAAAGTGTACGTATAAAGAAACGGAAGGTAACTTACGGGTCGGTAGGAAGGCGAACGCTGGCAACAGGAGCAACCTCCTCGAAGAAAGCACGGACGGAGTCTTGGTCAACGTCGAAAGGAAGGTTACCGACGAAGAGAGTGTCGCTCTCGGGGCTGACGGTATCACCGTGGCGCTGAGCACGGTCGGCAGCGCGGGCAGCAGGGTTGGCCTCAGCAGGACGAGCGTTGGCGTAGTCGAGGTTCATGGCACGACCCTCAATCTCGTGACCGTTCATGGTCTCGTAAGCCTTGGTGCAAGAGGCGCCATCGTTGAAGTCAACGTAACCGAAGCCACGGCTGCGGCCAGTACCCTTCTCAGTCATGACACGGGCGTTGGCAAGACCATCAATGTGCTTGAAGATCTCGTAGAGGGCGTTGTCATCGACGGACCAGGGAAGGCTGCCGGCGAAGAGGGTAGTGGGCTCATCACCCTTGGGCTTCTTGGCCTCGGCCTCACCATCATCCTCAGCCTTGCGCTTCTT